CATGATAAAGGACTTGGAATTGGGTCCTGGTTATACCCCCCTCCCGTACTTAGGTGTGTTACTTCCTCTCTCTGCTCTCTAACTTTGGCTTAGTTATCGCACCTCTCCTCAATGCTGCTTCTACATGTGAGGAAAAGACCTGACCTACCCATATCCTATTTGACGCCTTCCTATACCTATAGACTGAATCTTTGTATTAATTTGCTTCCAGCAATCCTCCTTGTAGGAATGGGCACAGACCAGTAAGTTAAACCTGTTGTATGTCATTGAATCTGTGCCAACTCATACAGACACTGGGATGGCTCAGTAGGACAGCCCCAGAGGGAATTCTAGGCTGTGATTTTTATGAAGGCAGATCACCAGCTCTTTTTACCCCTGGAGCCACTGATGAGTTCAAACCAGTGACCTTCATTAAGCCAAAGTGCTTAATGATTGCACCACGAGGACCCCTAGGTTAAATCTGTTGTTGTTACACTGTACTATTAAGTCAGAACCAAACCATAGCTGACTCTCAATTGAGTTTTCAGAGGGAGTTCCTCACATGGGAGGAGATTGTCCATCTTTTTCTGGCTGAGCAGCTGGTAGATTTGAACCACCTGCCTTCAGGTTGGCAGTGCAACTCCTTACCACTAGACCACCAGAGCTGCTTAAGTCTACTGGTTTTGAAATGAGAATGACCTGAGTTTAAAATCTAGCTCTGCCACTTATGATTGCATACTTCCTAGTGTGCTCTCAAGCAAGTCATTACATTTTTCTGTTTTCTCATCTACAAAACAAAGGAGAGACTAAATTGAAAAATAAAATGAGAATAAAAACTCTAGAAAAGAAATAAAACGAGAGGGGAAAGTAAAACAGTGAGGGCATGATCTTAGTTCCAGTGAGAGACACGGAGCATAGTGACTGCTACAGCTGACTTACAAACAGCAGAGACTGAAGATGGTGTAGTGAACTTAGGCACAGCAGAGGCTGAAGATGGTGTGAGATCAAGAAGTGCTGTGTTCTCTTGTACATAGAGTTGCTGTGAGATGATATGAACCTAACAATAAAAAAGCTGCCTGATCCAACAGGGTGAAAAGAAAACCTACCGACTGGGAACAAACATTTGGCAATACCAACTCTGACAAGAGTTTCATAACAAAGGTTTATAGAATACTACTCGGCCTCCACAAGGAAGACTGATAACCCAATTACAAAATGGGCAAAAGGGATGGGAAGAATCTTCACAGAGGAAGATACTCAAATGGCCAACAGATACATGAAGAAATGTTCCAAATCACTGGCAATAAGAGAGATGCTCATCAAAACCACCATCTCACTCCAGGAGCAGTGGCAGAGTTTAACAGGACAGCAAGTAATAAATGTTGGGAAAGATGTGGCAACATAGGAACTCTTATATATTGTTGGTGGGATTGTAAAATGGTACAACCACTCTGGAAGGCAGTTTGGTGCTTTCTCAAAAAGCCGAACATAGAAATTCCATATGACCCAGGAATAGACTCTGAGAAAAGGAGAACTGAGGCTCAAATGGAGACCTGTACCCCAGTGTTCATAGCAGCATTATTCACCAATGCAAGAACAGGGAAACAGCTCAGATGTCCAACCACAATTGAATGGATTGAGAAATTATGGTACATTCACACAATGGAATGCTATTTTGTAAATTATTAGCTAACTTGAGAGGGACTGGAAAGCATTATGCTGAGTGAACTAATTAGTCCCATAAGGACAAATACTGTATGAAACCATTATTGTAGTATGAGTATGAGGATCAAAGGTGAGGGGAGAGTGGAAACAGAGGGGTGAGGATGGGCAGAGAGGGGGTTTAATCATGGATTGTACAATTTGATGGGTGGTGGTGGGAGAAAGAAGGATATGGTGTGAAAAACCATGTATTAAAATTGTGTAAAGTAGTATAAATTAAAAAAAGAAGGGGGGAAGCTGCTTGGAACAACTGTGAGATATCATCTCACCCCAGCAACTCAACACCCCTAACAAAGTTCAACAGAGTAGCAAACAATAAATGCTGTCCAGGTTGTGGAGGAATTAGAACCTATATTCACTGCTGATGGGAATGCAAAATGGTGTAGCCACTCTGGAAAGGTGGTTTGACACTTTCTCAAAAAGTTGGAAGTAGAAATACCATTTGATTCAGCAGTTACACTGTTGGCAGTATACCCTAAAGAAACCAGAGCCTCCATCCAAACAGGTGTATTCATACCCATTTTTATTGCTGCATTATTTACAATAGCAAAGAGATAGAAGCAACCCAAATGCCCATCAACAAACAAATGGATAGAAAAACTATGGTATAGTCACACAGTGGAATACTATGCAGCACTGAAAAACAATGAAACATACAATCTGAGTGACCCTGGAGGACATTATACTGAGTGAAATATCTCAGTCACAAAAGGATGAATACTGTATAGCATCACTGTTATAAAGCAGATCTGATATGTCGGTTTGGGAGGAGAATAGGATAAGAGTGGATAGATAATGACCATTGCATTGAAACAGATGAAGGAAAGAACTGTTTAAAAGGAGTATATGATTAGGCATTATATGTACAACAACAGTCGAGAATAAGAGTTATATTGCAAAGAGGACTGAAGGGGAGGTAGGTAATTGTGCAAAAATGAATGAATATTAAAAAAATGAACTGGGAGAATGCAAAGTGACGGATGGGGTAAAATGTGCAACAATGCATGACTGAAAATCTAACTTTTCTGTAAACTTTTGTCAAAATCACAAATTTTATTTTTGAGAAATCTACCTGACAACAACTTGGTGGCACCTAACACCAAAATAGCGTTACCTGCCTCAGCAGGTTGTTGAGAGAATGAGATGATGCTGTCACCTGTACACACTCTGACCCCGTGAGGTGCCTTCTGCTCTCCAGGCCTTGGCCACTTCTCAGTGGAGGAAGGGCCTGCTTGAAGGCCAGCCCAGGGATCACATTCAAGGCTCTTCTTCAAGAAGTGTTTGTGATGCACATCCAAAAACTTCTCCAACAGGGTAAAAGGGGAAGCCACAGACTGGGAAAAAGTATTTGGTAATGACATGTCAGATAAGGAACTTATATCTAGAATTTATAAAATACTTGAGCACCACAACAAGATAAGGGTAAATAATCCAGTTGAGAAATGGGCACAGGATATGAGCAGACACTTCACCAAAGAAGACATTCAGATGGCCAACAAGCACATGAAGAAATGTTCAAAATCCCTAGTTTTAAGAGAGATGCAAATAGAAACAACTATGAGATATCATCTCACCTCAGTTAGAATAGCAAAATTTAACAGAACAGCAAGCAACAAATGCTGGCAAGGTTGTGGAGAAACTGGAATCCTCATTCACTGTTGGTGGGAGTGTAAAATGGTGCAACCACTATGGAAGGTGGTATGGTGCTTTCTCAAAAAGTTGCAAATAGAGATACCATTTGACCCAGCAGTTCTACTGGGAATATATCCCAAAGAGACTATAACTGACATCCAAACAGATATATGCACACCCATGTTTATCACGGCTTTGTTCACAGTAGCAAGGAGTTGGAAACAACCCAGGCACCCATCAACAAACGAATGGATAGAAAAGCTGTGATATATTCACACAATGGAATATTACTCTGCACTGAAACACAAGGACCTCATGCAATATTATTCAAAATGGGTGAGCCTGGAGGACATTATGTTGTTGTTGTTGTTTGATGCCATCGAGTCCTAGACAACTCATAGCGACCCTATGAACAAATGGCCTGAGGACTGTTCGTACATAGAGTTTCCGGAAGCAAGCCATTTCGGAAGTGGATGCCGCTCCTGCTTCCAGGCTTGATTTAGTCAGGAAGCTCCAGCCAGCACTGTCCACCATGGGTACCCATTACCCATCACTGTCACAGTCTTCAGCATCACAGCAACCACGAGTTACCTCTGTACAGCAATGCACAGACCAGTGCTATACCACCTAGAAGAATGTTTGACAGGAAAACAATTTGAACCTGGCCGAGGTCACAAAAGGACAAATATTGCATGGTGCCACTGCTGTAAAATGGGACTGATATCAGGGTTGGGTTAAGACTGAGAAAAACTGAATAAATTGTGTATACTGCACTGAAACAGATGAGGGAGAGAATAATTTAAAAGGGATTTATGATAGGCTATTATGGTTATCACAAGAGTCCACAATCAAGGTTGCATAATGGAATATACTTGGGGCGGTGGGAGGGGTGCGGAGGGATTGTGTACCAGGGAGAGAGTGTTTCTTTTACTTTTCAAAGAGAGGAGTGAACTGTGGGGGTGGGGGAAGGGCTGGGCGGGGAGAGAAGTGTTAGCAATGAATGAGTGGAAATCCAAAATCTCCGTATATGTTCATTAAAATTATTTTTAAAAATACTAAAATAAAATAAAAAAGACGTGTTTGTGGGTGTGAGAGAGATTGATCTCTCTGGGGCTGAGGCAGACCCAGGGGCCTGTTTGCTGACTTGATTTCAGTTCTCCATGTAGACCGTCCTCTACCTAGGAAGCCTGGAGGCATCTGTCTTGAATGGGTGCTGGAGTGGATAAAGAAGTCCTCCTGGGTCCCAGCTCCTGGCCTCGGCCCCCCAAGGGCTCCTCAAGCCCAGAATTAGGGCTTTGAGGAGTCAAGGAGAAGCCCACACTCTCTCTGCCCTATGTCACCCCAGAAAGCATCTTCAGCAGCCGTGATGATCCCCACCCTGAAGCTGAGGTGGGAATAGAGTGAGGGAGCTTCTAAATAGCTCTCTGAGGAGATTTGGGGAAAGTCAGCAGGTTTAGCAAACGCCGGGTTGGTAATATATTCTGCCTCCCGACGGCCGAGATCCTGCCATCGATTTTTCTTTATTGTGTTCCTTCATATTTGAAGCCGCCATGCATTTTAAAGTAATTATTGAATGGCGTCCTCTATATAGCGTAACACAGATATCATTCTAACGGGGCTGATTGATTTTCAATCCTTTCAAGTGGCTTTTTCCCCTTGTGCCCTAGGATCAGCTATAAGACCGCATATCGGCGAGGCCTGCGCACCATGTACCGGCGGAGGTCCCAGTGCTGCCCTGGCTACTACGAGAACGGGGACTTCTGCATCCGTACGTAGGGGACACCGCTGCGCCAGCCTCAGTAGGACAGGCGGAGGGGGAGCGGCGGGAGGACTGGCCCCATGTCCTCGGGGCAGCGGGCTTCAGCTGATCCAGGGGCTGCCAGTTGCTGGTCCTCAGAGAGGAAAATGGGGCTGGTGTGCACACGTTGGCATGGGTCTGCCCATCAGATCACCCTCTAGAAAAGAACTCAGCTCTAGACCAGTGGGGGCCAGGGGACAGAGGGGCTCTCCTGGAGTTGATGCTCTGAAGAGTGAAGCGAGGAAGCTCTAATTGCCTGGCGCAGGACTGAGGTCGTGGTACAGGCCCAAGAAAGCTTTGTTGGGTGGAGAGAAGGAGGAGTGGGAAAATGTCTGGAGAGATGAGTGGATGAAGGATGACTTGGTGGGAGGAAGGACAGAAGGAGCACTAGATGCCAGGATCACGCCTAGGAGGAGGACAGAAGATTGTAAGGAATGTGAGATGAAGGCCTTTCAAAAAGATGGGGGCCACAGTAGAGATGGTGGGTGCATTAAACACACCTGCTGCCTCTTTCCCTATTTGTTGGCAAAACCAAATGAAACCAAGGCCTCAGGATCCCCCAGAGAGTCAAGGGCTGAGCTGCTGGCAGCTGCAAGCCTTGTGTGTGGGGCCCTGTGGTGCACTGCAGACACCCTGGAACAAAATTCCGCAGCTCTGGGTTCCAGTAGCAAATTATTGTGGGGTCAGATTCTAAGGGACACTTTGCCCACCCACCTCTGAGTGGTGGAAGGGAACATGGAGGACTTTCCATGGGCTTGTGAAGGTCTTCTTGCTCCAGGAGTGTTAGAGAAGCTGTAATCACTGCTTTTCCTGACCGTGAGGGGAGCTCACCCTCAAGGCGTCTGCCACTTCCTTTGGAGGGGGCCTTCCTTGTTAGTATTCTCCTTGCCATTCAGGCTGGTAGAGCGAGCAAGCTCCAGAGAAAGAATTTGGGCAGAGTGGGCGTGTTGATGTTGGGAACGAAATGACAATTTTCCCCGACTGTTGTAACATCTCCCCCAATGCCAGGGAAACTCGATCCTAATTACATTACAGGAATGAATGAAAAATGCTCCCTCAGATGGGCTCAATAACAATGGTCTTGAAGCAGAAACACGAAAGAAACTCGTCCTGTTTCTCAGGAGCAGGACAGAGGAACGAAGCAAGGCCTTGGTCAGAGTTTTGTATGAAACAAGGGTGATTAGGGTTCCTGGGCATGGAGAACAGATACAAGGTTTTGCCTTCTCTGTTCAAAATGCATCAAGAACCACACTGGGGATGGAACACCAGCGAGACTCGGAAAATCCAAGGAGAGTGGATGTGAGCGCTCTCTCTAAGCTCAGGATGCAAATATGGGCTCAGGGAAATGATAAGAGGGCATTTGGACATCAGCACAGGCCTCCCAGGAGGGATGAACGTATCCTTTCTGATTTCTTCAGTGGACATGTGTCAGGCTCTTGGAAAAGAGAGCTGGGCAGAAGTGCTAAGTGTCCTGGTTGCACAGCCTCAGTCTTGCTGGCAGGGAAGGATGGCTCCTTAAGGAACGTGCAGAACTGGTGGCCACAAGCTGGCCCTGCAGGAAACCACTTTCAGGATGGAGGCTTTCCCAGAAGGGGACAGGAGCGAGTGAGCACTAAGAGGGGCCACAGTGGCATCTTGTGTGATGACAGGGTTGACTCGTAGGGGGCAAGAGCCATGTTGGTTTCTATTGGAATCTCACACTGCTACTCTAACTTCCTCATTGTTTTTAAAAACAAGCATACAGCCTGTGCCAGGCACTGTTGGTCCTCACTTTACAGACAGGAACCTATCTAGTGCTCACAACAGCCCTGGGAGGTGGAGGTTGTCAGCCTGACTTTACAGGGAGCCCACACACAGCAGAACAAAATGCTTACAGGCCCTGCACCATCCCCACGCTTGGTGGCAGGCTGGACCCTTGCCAGGTGTAAGATTTTATTTTTTTCCCCCCTTTTCTTTCTTTTTTGCTCTAACAAACAGAAATTCACCTTCTCCTCGTCTAGGAGACTGAAAGTCTGCATTAAGGTACTGGTTCTAGAAGAAGTCTTTCTGGCTCTGTTGGCTCTGGGGAAAGGACCTAGTGTTGTTCCTTGACTCCTTAGTGGTCCTTACGTACTATGGCATTTGTTTTCTTCTCGCTGACATCCTCCTTCCCTTTTCTCCTATTCTTTTTCAGAAAATTTCTTTGGGGACTTGAGTGGAAATTTACAGGGCAAATTGTTTTTTCTATTCAAAAAGTCTTTGTTAATTCAACAGCAACAGTTCTTTAATTTAACAGCACTTTATGCAACACACCATTGATTATAATCGCTACATTGTAACAGCAGGTTTTCCACACCCTCTGGGCTTCCTGTTCTTCTTGCCTAACCTTTCCTGCCTTCTGAGCTTCAATTCCTGACCTCCTGATCCTGCTATAAACTTCTTCCCTCACTTCTTCTTTTTCACACATTTAGGGGTGTACATTTTATTCATTTGAGTGCAGTTATATATTTTTACATGCTTTTGCTGTATTTTGGGGGGTGTTTTTGTGATTGGAGGGGACCTTGTCACAAGGATGCAGGTTCTGTTCCAGCCCTCTGCTGTAAGGAGATTGTGACAAGAAAGCGAGCCCCATGAATGTTGTGGTTTCGCCGTGCTTACGGAAGCTGTGTTGACATGGCACTGTAGTGTATTAAGCGTGCAGCAGCATTATGAAAAGAAGTCTGAAATAGAAGGAGACTCACTAAAATGTGAGCTATAGACATGAAGCAAGCACATGCTGCCGGAAAAATGGCATCGACAGACTTGCTCTATGCAAAGTTGTCACAAATAATTCAATTTGTAAAAAACACAGTAGCTGCAAAGTACAGTCAAGTGAAGCACAGTTAAATGAGGTGTCCTACCATGTCGCTGGAACTGCTCCTGTTTTCTAGTGAAGGGAGGGCTTTATAACTAGAACCTGTGACATTTAATTCAGTGCTTTCTTGAGCCAATTGCTGGCTCTCACCAATAATAATATGAGCAGTAACGTAACACCTGATGGTTTACCCAGCACTTTCACATAGTGTATCATTTGCTCTTCACAGTCCTGGAGAAGTGAGTGTTATTACTGCCATTTTACAGAAGAGGAAGCTGAAGCACCACTAGGTGATGTGTCCTCGTTGATGAGTGACAGATTAGGGGTTCAGTGAGACTTCACATCCTGTACCCTTCCCTCCAGTGTTGGGTTTTTCCTCTCTTGGCAGGAGGGTCCTATGATCAGAAGAGAAGAGTGTGGGATCTTTTTAAGAGGAAGGGATATGTAGAGATTTGTAGGGATTAAAAGAATCTGAGACAAATTTGTGTCAGAACCGCGACTCAGCTGACCCTCCAGTGGGTTTTCAGAGGCAATAAACTCATGGGAGGAGATTGCATATCTTTTCCAGTGGATTTGAGCCATTTGCCTTTGGGTTGGCAGTGTGACTCTTTACCACTAAACTACCAAAGCTCTTTTGATTGAATTATTTTTTTTTTCAAAGTGGACCCTAAAGGGAGCTCTGGTAACCTAGTGGCAAGAAGCTGCACTGCAGTCCCAAAGGCACATTAGTTCAAAGCCACCAGCTGCTCTTTGTGAGATGGGTGGGCAGTGTGATTTAACTGCCTCTGAAAACCTGCCAGAAGATCAGCTGTGGATCGGTTCTGACTCTATGATAGACAGCAACAACAAAGCGTATCCCACAGGAGTTAGGATTTGGGAGTAGGGGATGGTGTGTGCAAGTACATGGCACCTGCATGGGACCTGTCTGAAGTTCAGATTCTCCATGTGCAATAATTCCCTGCTGACCCTCATTTGAGGAGACTCCCCAGAGACTTCCGCCTGCTGCTGCCACCAGGAGTAATGCTGGTGCCGCTCCCGTGAGCCACCAACACCTGGGTGCTGAGCTTTGCCGCCTAGAAGAGCAACACCTGTCCATCCTTTTGTCTGTCCATCCATGTATCCATCAGTATTTATTACATCCACTTTCTAAACAGAATGCATCTAGAAACTCTATGAACTTTGATAAATGTCGATGGTTGTAAGAGGGCTTCAGGCCTTTTGTTCAGAGAGTCCCAATGAGTCATGTTCGAATCAAAGGCAGTCAACAACAACAAGAACAACATGCCTTGCTAGGGAGCTCTGGTGGCCTAGCGGCAAGAAGCTGCACTGCAATCCCAAAAGACTGCAGTTTGAATCCATCAGCTGTTGTGCAGGAGAAGGATGAACAGTCTCCTCTTGTGCAATTAGCTGCCTCTGACAACCTGCTGGAGTGTCACTTGTGGGTCACTTCCTCTTAGACAGTACTCAGCAACAACATACAGAAAGAAAGATGGGCAGTCTCCTCCCATGCAATTTTTTTGCTTCTGAAAACCCACCAGAGGGTCAGCTATGGGCTGGTTCTGGCTTGATGGTAAGCAGCAACAACATGCCTTTGTAGGCACTAAGTCTTGGGACGCATAGATGAGTAAGGAGTGTACCTGACATAGGGTCAGTGAGGGTTTGTTGTTGCTGTTATGTGCTGTTGAGTCAAGCATGACTCATAGTGGCCCTCTGAACAAAAATATCTGAACCCTGTTCTGTCCTGTGCCATCCTGACACTTCCTGACACACAAGAGCCCACTGCAGTAGACACCATGTCAATCCACCTGGTAGAGGGTCTTCCTCTCCTTCACTGACCCTCCACCCTTCCCAACATCATGTCCCTCTCCAAGGAATAGCACCTCCTAGCAGTATGTCCAAAGTATGTTAGGTCAAGCCTCATCATTCTTGCTTCCAAAAAGCACTCTGGCTGCACCATTTCTAAGACATATCTGTTTGTTCTCTTGGTCATCCATGGGATGTTCAGTGCTCTTCTCCAACACCACAGCTCAAAGGCATCAATTCATTTTCTGTCATCCTTATTCATTGTCTATCTCTGAGATGTATAGCTAGTAATTGAAAGACCATGGCCTGAATCAGATGCACCTTAGTCCTCAAA